TGCATGAACTTTACAATTTCTATATATTAGTTCTTAATTTTCTTTCAGTTTTTTGATATTTTAGTTTTTAAAAAAATACTTTGTTTTTGTTATTAGTTTTTTTTATTATTTTTTTATTTTGATTTTAATTTTTTTTTTAATTTTATATTTTATTAATTTTAAAAGCTATTATTTAAGTAATATCTATGAGTAGTTAGCTTGGTTATTTATTTAACATGCCATCCTTTATTATTTTTATTATTATTATAATTATTTTTATTAGTTTCTTTATGAATAATTAGCTTTTTCCTTGCATAAAACAAAGTTGGCAAAATTGCTAATGGTAAGATGCAGATAACCTGGTTAAATGTTTATATGGCTTGTGCCATGTCTCTATTGCAAAGTGGTAGGACAAAGAGGTATAATTATGTCAACCAGCTGAAAATTTAAACTTATAAGTAAACATCGTCAGCACAAGTAGAGGTCTAAATTTTATAGTGTTCATATTTCACAGGTCTAAATTTCATAGTGCTGAATATTTAAATACTTTTTCTAAAGAATAATTTTGCAAAAAATTTTTAAAAATACAATATTTTTTTTTGTACAAAATATTTTATATATAATTGTAGATTAGTTTTTATGTTGGTATATCGCTATGATTGATGGGTGTGTTTTCACTGATTCCACAAAATACTAAAACCTTTTTTTTTGATTTGATATGAGTACTTTCAATTTGTATATTTGCTTTAATTAGTCAGGTCAAGAATAATGAAGTTTGGTAGTTATGATGGTTTGCATGAAAATTCTCAGGTATAATAGTATAATGTTAAGAAGTTGTTGCTATGTTTTTGTTTATGTTATGAAGTTATTTTTATGTTTATATTACGAAGTTATAACTATGATTTTATTTATGTTATGAAGTTATTGCTATATTTTTGTTTATGTTATGAAGTTGTTGCTATGATTTTATGTTATGAAGTTATTGCTATGTTTTTATTTATGTTATGAAGTTATTGCTATGATTTGTTTATGTTATAAAGTTGTTGCTATGGTTTTATTTATGTTATGAAGTTATTGCTATGATTTTGTTTATGTTATAAAGTTGTTGCTATGATTTTATGTTATGAAGTTATTGCTGTGTTTTTATTTATGTTATGAAGTTATTGCTATGATTTTGTTTATGTTATAAAGTTGTGGCTATGATTTTGTTTATGTTATGAAGTTATTGTTATGTTTTTGTTTATGTTATGAAGTTATTGCTATGTTTTTGTTTATGTTATGAAGTTATTGCTATAATTTTGTTTATGTTATGAAGTTATTGCTATATTTTTGTTTATGTTATGAAATTAATATATTTTTTTTATGTTTAGAAGTTATTGTTATATTTTTATACATTATTGTAATTAGAAAGACTTTAAAATTAAAAAAAGTTTAATGCTTTGATAAAGTTTTGAAAAAGAAACTTATTTTATTTACTTTATGCACAGTAAATGGCCAAATTATTAGTTACACTAGTGAAAATTATTAATTAAACATTTTAAGCTATTTTACATAGTTTTGTATTAATATATTGTTTATATTAATGTTTCTAGTTAGAATAAAGTATTTTTTAATATAAAGATAAAATATTTGATACTATTTTTAACTATTTATGTAAGCAAGTTTACAATATAAAATGTTTTTTAGTGTTTACAGCTTCTTGAACATGTTTTATATTCATTGTTAATAGATATTAATAAATTATAATAATTTTTATTGTTAAGAATAATGTCAGCCTCAGAATCACTTTTTATATAATTACTTGTGTTAGAGCGTAAATAAGTTAAAATCTTAGTCCAGTAAGATTTATGGTATAAACTTTTACCTTTAAAGTTTATTTAGGTTATGATAGACTTGTTTGAAAACTTGCTGTTGTAAAGTTTAAATTTTTTTTGAACTCATAAGTTAAATTTCACCCATTTAAGTGTTTTACGATTTTAAATATGTGTGAAATATAAGTGAAATATATCTGATTATTAAAGTAAATGATTAATGGTGTTTACCATAACTATAGTGAAATTAGAAATTTAATGGAAAACAAAAAAGTTGCTATTAACATTTATAAAATCTGTTTCAGCAAAAGTTGACTGGGATGATGTTATAAAAACCAGTGACATGAATTATCTTGTTTTCAAATTTATTTTTATTGAAACAATATTGATTTTAATTCACTACTTAAACTTGTATCAAGAAAAAAACTTTGCAAAGTTTATAAAAGCAATAATAATCTAATAATAATAATAATAATCTAATATATAATAATCTAATAAATAATCAGATTTCATCAATAACAATCTAATAAATAAGACTGTAATAATTCATCTCTCAATTTACAAGTTAATATAACTTATATAACTGAACTGATTTTTATCTCAACATTTATTCTAAAAATCTGAAATTTTTTAAATAAATGTTGCTCATAAACCTAAATCCGATATTCATTTTTCTTTCGTCATCTTAAATATTCATATTTACATTGTCTACTTTTACCTCAAACAAATATTCCTTAAATTTTATCTCTTATATTTTATTTGAAGCCGCAAAAATCATTAGCTCCTCAAATATTCTCATGTTTCAAATATTCTTCATTCTCACAAATTTTTAATTTAGTACAAACTTTAGTTTTCTTTCTTAACTTTTTAATATTTCATTCATAAATGGAGCTGATATATTGAAATTATAATAAACATTAGTCAATATAATAAACATTAATAGGCTTCTTGATAAATATAAATGAAAAAACTAGAAAAGCTCTTGATACTAATCTTTTTTTTTTTATTGATTTACAAAAAGCTTTTGATACCATTGGTCATAGGATTATGATTTCTGAATAAGAAGATTCATGGTGTTATAAGTGACTGGGGTTAATCTTATTTTTCAGATAAGAAAAAATTTGTATTTGATGTTGTATGTGATGTTCTTTTGTATGTGATGTTCCTCAAATATCTGTTCTTGTCAATTTGTTTAATGTGTTAGATTTTATCATGTTAATGATCTAAATAACTCATTTTGTCCTAGCCCTTTTTTTTTATCTCTCAGTCAATATTAATGTTATTTGTAACTTAAATGTTCATTACACTGAATAGTTCTAACAGAACTATTAAGTTATTAGGATATCAAAGCACACTCTCTTACTCAGATAGTTAATCTCAAGATTAATTTTGTGATTAAATTCTAGTCACTTATCTTCACCCCTTGATTTACATCTTGTCCTAACACAAGCTTGTGTTCAGTTTCTAATTTTTCTTATTTAGGTGTTTCAGAATATGCAATAATCTCTATAAATCTTTTATCTCACAATTTTACTTCTATCTATACCTATAGCTGTACTCACTACTACCTTTAAGTCATCAGGGTTAAATTCTTTTTATGGTTTTCTTTGTGACTGTCCTTGTCCTGATGTCTTTTATTTCTTTGGTGATAAATTTAATCTCCTATATCCAGGCAGCTAAGGAAGCTTTTATTCCTTCTTGTTGATTTTAAGTCAAGCCTCATTCTACTTCATGGTTTTCATCTTTTTATACTACCTGCAATTTTTTTCATTTTCTCATCAACTCTTTTGAGAACAAACGCCTTAAATCAAACGGCTATTGATTATTTCTAGATATCAATGTAAAAAGGTACTGTTTGACGCTAAGCTTCATTATTCTCAGTTCACTAAATTGTATTTTTTAGAAGTTTTAGATACTACTTGTATCTTTTTTTAGAGTTTAGGTTCTATAGATCTTTGAAAAATCTTCATAAATGTCATTAACAAAACTAAGTCTAACATTCCATCTCAGGTACCTCTTAATACCTCTCTCAAGGATAAGAGAAAACTGTTTGCAAAAAATATTTTCTCTAGTTCATCTTTTGAATTGATCACACTATTCTTGCCATTTCTTTTCTTTTTATTACCTGTAAGTTATAGTTTTTACAAGTTTTTTACAACGCTTTTTTATGTTTATATGGCTAGTCTATTCAGTCTATAGTCTACATAGTATATATGTTTTATTATTCTATGTAACAAAATTTTTGTTTTTGTTTTCAAATTGTGCTCGAAAAACTTGTTTCTAGAACATTTTGTACCTTTCAAGAAATCTTTATAGCTTTTAATAAACTTCCAGAACTTTTTTGAACTGTCTAAAAGTAGTCATACTAGTATTGTCATACAAGCACTCGTGAATTGAATCAACTTCTGTTATTGGTATAATGAATCATTGTAAAATTCAAACTTATTTAGTCAGAAAGATTTGCTGTGCTTCAGCAAGGATGTGTAAGGTGTTTTAAGGCTATTGTTATCAAGTTCATGGCACCTTTTTTAGACAGTTCATCCTGGAGCCTTAAAATTGCATTGCTTCACAACAGAAACAACTACCTGTCTATTCCAATGGCTACACCAGTGTCAAGGTATTATTGAGTGCCTTAAAGTATTATGACTATGAATGGGAGTTCATCAGTTACTTCAAAATAGTGTAATTTTTTATGGGCCTATAAGGTGGTTTGATAATATTCTCTTATTTTTGTTGTGTCTGGAACAGCTATAACACTAAAGTGTACTATCTCAGAAAGGACTGGCCCAATGAACCAAGTTCTTTGTGAGCAAAAGAAATGTGAAATGGGAGCAGCTAATAGAACCTTAAAAAGTGCTTATGGCACATCAAGTTATGCAAGCAATTTGTCTCTGATACTTGGAAAGAAGTTAGCACCTTTCAAGTACCTTCAAGATTTTATTCTGAAGCTGTTAAAAACTATGGTTAGAGCTGGTATTTTTGTTGGACCACGGATCAAAAAGATCATGGAACTTAATAAGTTCAATAAACTCCTAAAAAGGACGGAGAAAACAACTTAGAGCACTTTTGTTGCAGTTATTCATGGCTTCCTTGGTAATAACAAGGCTGATAACTATGTGGAGTTAATTCAGATTCTCACAGGTTTTCATAAAAAATTAGGCCGAATGGAATACAGTATGTCACTTTATATCCATATCTTTGACACTTATTGCAATAAATTCAAGTTGCACATAAAAGCTCACTCAAAAGAGCAAAATGAAAGTTTTCATTTATATATATTGAACTTTAATTGTTGTTTTTAAGGACAGGACAATAAAAATACATAATGCCTAATTATGTTCCATATATTAAGTTAATACTGGATTTAAATATTTAATCCCCAAAGAGCCTTGTGCATTCATTAAGTCCCAAATATTAAAAGTGTATCATGTTGTGTCTCAAATGAAGCGAAATCATTTGAAAGTTGTAATAATATAAATTTTTATTGTAGTTATAGATTTTTATTACTCTTGTTATTAATATTCTTGTTATCATTGTTATTTTTATATTTTTTTTAATTATGTTTTCATTTTATTATACATATTTTTTATTATATTTATATTATTATTATTGTAAATTGTTACAAAAGGTAAATTAATAGACTGTTGTTGTTGTTGTTGTTGTTGTTGTTGTTGTTGTTGTTGTTGTTGTTGTTGTTGTTGTTTGTACATTACTTGTATTAGGGTTAATTACTAATAATCATTTCTACTTAATTGTAAAAACATTTTATTCTTTAGGCATTTCAAAGTACAACTTTTATAATAAAAGATGGTATTATTTGTGAATCAGAAGAATACATTTATTTCAAACAATACCACTATTCATCATTGAGTTGTGTCGTGCCAGTGCTCCAAAAAATAGAAAGACTTTTGCAGAATTATTCTGTACCTCTTGCAGTTATTGACAGAAATAAGTAAGAGTAGATTTAATATTTAAAAGAGTGTTTAAACGGCTTAATAATTTTTAATAATTGTAATAATAATAATTTTCTTTGACATAGGAAAAAAACAAACAACATTGAATATCCCTTGATATCATTCTTAGATTTTTAATCAATCAGAATTGAGTAGTTAATGAAAGAAGTGATAATTTGTTATTTTGTTTCTTTATCTACTAATTGGTCAGCCAAAATGAATCTGATTAACCAATCAAAATGTTGCCAAAATAAATCTTAAATAAATAACTTTTAGTAACTAATAACTTGTTACTGTTTTAGTAAACAATTGAAAGTCTTGAAATTTTGCGATGTCATAATTTGCTATTTTTATTTTACCAATACAAAAAATACTTTTTTAGTTTTTTTTGCTTTGTTGGTGTATTTGCTTTTAAATATTTTAAATATTATAAACTTTAATATCACTTATAAGTTCCAATTTTATTATTTTATTATTAGTTTGATTTTAAGAAGAAAAAAAAGAAAAAAAAAGTAAATATTTAAGTATCTCTGTATCTGTTTAATTTTTCACTGCCACTCCTTTATTTTTGCATCCAATTCTGTTTCTTCAAGCCACTTCCATATTTTCAGTCCCACTTCTGTATTTTTATGTCACTCTTATTTTTTAATGTCCACTTCTGTATCTTCAAGTCACTCCTGTATTTTAATGTCCACTTCTATATCTTCAAGTCACTTTTTTATTTTAATGCCTACTTCTGGATCTTCAAGTCACTTTTGTATGTTAATGTCCACTTTTGTATCTTCAAAATGCTCTTGCATTTTAATGTTCACATCTGTATCTTCAAGTCATTCCTGTATGTTAATGTCCACTTCTATATCTTCAAGTCACTTTTTTATTTTAATGCCTACTTTTGGATCTTCAAGTCACTTTTGTATGTTAATGTCCACTTTTGTATCTTCAAAATGCTCTTGTATTTTAATGTTCACATCTGTATCTTCAAGTCACTCCTGTATTTTAATGTTCACATCTGTATCTTCAAGTCACTCCTGTATTTTAATGTTCACATCTGTATCTTCAAGTCACTCCTGTATTTTAATGTTCACATCTGTATCTTCAAGTCACTCCTGTATTTTAATGTTCACATCTGTATCTTCAAGTCTCTCCTGTATTTTAATGTCCACTTCTGTATCTTTGTCACTCTTGTATTTTCGTATCCACTTTTGTATCTTCAAGTAAAGTGATGACCTATATAAATTGAAGATGTAAAAGTGAAAAGAGTATTTTTATGTCCACTAGTATTACAAGAGTATTTTTATGTCCACTTCTCTCTCTTTAAATCACAGGTTGGTCAGTTAGCACTACAGTTTTTCAACTTTGTTGGAAGTTTTTTGCAATTTTTTACTTTTTAACTTTAACACTTTAAAAGCTTTGTTTTTACAAAATCTAAACACTGATGACTTTTAGACTTGTTGATATTGGATTGAATTATGAAAGAGAAACAATACTTGATGATAAGGTAAAAACCTTTTTTTCTAAATGATTGAATTTTTTAAAGTTTTTTTTACTCTATATTTGTATTATTATGACTTGTAACTTATATTTTTATTAATTGTTATTTACAGAATTAAAGTTAAAATTTAGTTTTTTGTATACATATTTATATTATTTTAGTTTTATAATGATATACAGGGATCGAATTAACACAAAAAAATCGAATTAGGAAAAAAAAAATTTTTTTTTGCCACCCCTCCCTCATAGCTCAAGCTACTTTACAGTAATGAGGGGGGGGGGTTGCATTATATAAAATTGTATCTTTTATATGTAATTTTTATTTTTTAACATATTATCTCTCATATTTAAATATTATGTTATAATTTTCTATTTTAGTGGAGTTAAAAATAGCATAAGTTATTTTTAACTCCGTCAAATATATACTGTTATAATTTACAGGTTAATTTATGATTTAAAGTTTAAGTTGCAGTTACAGTGTAATGAGCAAGTAATGTATTTAATACTATTGAGATATTACTTTTAGTAATTGTTTTTACTTATCATAATACTTAAAAAAGTAAAAGTAAAAACTAAGAGTAAAAAGCAAACAATATTTAAACCACTTTAATATTTAAACCACTTTAATTAGTCATAGAAAACTATTTAATACGTTCATGCTGACGATAACACACATGTTTTTTTGAAAGAGTATTTAATTTTTATTGTGAAAAACTATAAAACAACAATAAAACAAACTGCAAAGTTGTTTTAGAAATATAAATAGTATGTGTAAAACAACTCTAAAACAATGTAAAACAACTTCTCGACGCTGTTTTGTTGATATTTTATACAATTTATAACCTTAATAACTTAAAACAGGTTTAAAATAAAATGAAGCAAGTAAATGAAATTATTCTAATTAATAAATTAAAAAATTATTGTCATAAAACTTAATATTTGCGCAAAAACTATAGACCATACAATATATAGCCTATAGGCCATATGAGTCTATAATCTATAAACCAAATGAGTAAGATGTAAGAAAAAAAATTAGATACCACGTTTTTTTATAATTTATTGTTTCATGATCCAGAGGACTAATAAAAGTTCAAGTTTTTTTATTCAAATTGTTTTCCAATACAAAGTGAAACAAAAAAATTGGGTTTAATAAATCGAATTCGTGTATCATAAAAATATTTATAATTATACAGGGCCATTCTAGGAAAAAAATTTGGGCGGTGGTACTCCCCCCCCCATTTCGGTGCGCTTTAGTGGAAAGTCTGCGCCCAAATATGGTCGATGCTGTCGAAAACGGTCTAGAATAGCCCCTGTTATATAAGTATTGTTTTTATATTGGTTGAACAATTTCTACTACCTGAGCTTATCAATATCAGTTTAGATTTTTTAAAGTGATTCTGCAACCGTATTCTCATCTCTTGAGCGTTTGTCAAAAATTTCATTACAACATTTCTAAGTAAAGAAACAACAAATTTGTTAATAGTTAATAATTAGTTTTTTTTTGAGGCTTTTATTTAAAGTTCTTCTTTCATAGATCTCAAATTCATTAGATCTAGCATCAACTTTAACTTCTACAACTCTTTTCCATTTACGTTTTGGTTATCATCAATTATCACTTGCAATTTGATATGTTAATTTAATTTATTTTTTATTGTTAAGTTATACCAGTTTTAAAGCTTTTATTAAATATTCCGAATTCGAAAAGTTTGTTGTTATTACTTTATAAGGTTTTTTTATATTTCATTATTTCTCTTTTTGTTTTTCTTGTTTAGAATGAATCGTATTCATTGCTTTATATTGGTTCAGCTTTTCATTGGTTTAAATTCCATCTCTTAAACTTTTCATTGTTATAAACTCGATTGCTTCAGCTTTCATTGCTTCAAATGTCTTTTGTCATTAAAATGTCATTTAGTATGTTCTTGATTTTTTTCAAGGACTTAAATAGCAATACTGAGGAGTTCAAGAGTTTGTTGTACATAATTATTATGTTGTTGTTTTTATGTAATTTATAGTTTATTATATAAATACATTAATATGTTTATAAAATAGCAAATATTTTTCATTATGTCTAAGAAATGTATTCCATGAAATTAATGAATAGAAAAGTATTCAATAAATAGAAAAAAATAGAAAAAGTATTTAACCTTTTTATGAGAGTAAGCTACATTATTGTAAATAAATAAAAGCTTGCCATTTATTTTGGAAACATTATAAGTTTAGTTTGTATAATCAAGTTATTCAGGACAAATAAATGTTGATGATAGTTTTTCTTTTATTACACCAGGTTCTTCTTTCATGCATAGTCAATAGAAAAGATATTGAAGAAATAATAAAAATACCAGTAAGATTATTATAATCTAATTATCTACTATAACGTATATATATATATATATATATATATATATATATATATATATATATATATATATATATATATATATATATATATATATATATATATATATATATATATTGTACTATAACGTATATATACATTAGTTGATTTTTTAAAATTACTTTATTTATATTATACTTTATTCTATACGGATTTTTCAGTGAAAGAAGAGAAAAAATAAAGAATAATCAATAAAAAATGTCCTCCAAACCCGTAGTCAAAAGTAACAGCACTTTTTGCATTTCAGTTTTTGCTATTCAGTTTCTATTCTACCTATTTAGCCAGTTAATAAAAGTACTGAATTCCTGGAATAAGTCTATTTCAGTATGATGTCAGACAGCTTATCTAAACACGCAATATAAGTTATATTGGCACTCTGATGTCATAATGGAATAGGGAGCTAGCAAGAGCTTATGGCAGCGTTAAGGTTTTTTTTCTATATATATACATACATGATATATATATATATATATATATATATATATATATATATATATATATATATATATATATATACATGACACTTTTTGGAAAAAAAAGTGTCATGTTTATTAGGGCGGGTCATTTTTCAACTTTTTCCCGTAAATGCTATATGATTTTAAAATGTTTAGCTATATGATTTTAAAATGTTTTGGCCCTTATATAAAAGTAATCCAAAAAAAAAATTAAAAATTTTTCTTTTCAGGTTTTCAAATTTTGACCTAAAAAATCGAGGTTTTGGGTAAAAAACGCTATATACGCGGTTCACCGCAACTTTTAACCGGTTGCTCCAAATGACTCTAAACATCTTTTATGGAATCCTCGAACCCTTAATTAGACACCTAGAAAGTCATTTTAGCTTAAAAACTTATAATTATAAAAGTTGAAAAAAATCGTTATTTTAGATATATTTTGCTGGATTATCTTGGGTAGTTACAATAAGATGTTTTGGTTAAACTTAAATTTATTTAGTAGATTATATGAAAAAACTTATGAAATATCATTCATAAGTTGCTGCATTTGAATTGCCGCATTTTAAACCGTTGCTTTAGCATCTGAATTTGCTGCATTTTAAATGCTGCATTTGAGTTGACACGTTAAATCTACAATAAAAATTGTTTATAAACTATTGATAGCTTTGAGTTCTTTATTGATGGCTAAACGAACATGTAAAAATAGTCAAAGTTTCAAACTAAGTGTTATGATTGGTTTTGCAAGTGAGTTTTTAGATTCTGAGTTACCCACATTAATAGATGTTATAAAGTATGGTCTGCTTCTAAGAAGAGATGAAAACTGCAAAGCAAATGCAAAACTTTAAGATACATGCAAAAAGGTTTTCTCTAAAGTGAAAATACAATGGTTGAAAGCGAATCCTGAAATTCCTATTGTGATGGACAAAGTGGGTGTTAATAAAATAATAAAAGTATGGAAGTTTAACTCTACTCTGGACAAGCTATTTGATATAGCAAAGTGCAAGTGTGACATTGTTTCTTGTGAGGAGGCAAGTTGTAATTCTTGTAATTTTAAAGCGCATATTTCTTGTCAATGCAATAAAGAAAACAAAATTCCTACAATAGAACTTCAGTTTATGAAATTTCAAAGAGAAAAATTTGGAACAAAAAGTAGTATGCAAATGGGTGCTTCAGATTTTAAAGAAACCAATAGACAAGAAAAAAATAATAAAAGAAAGGCCACTGGAAAAAAGAAGCCACAAATAGAATACCTATCGTTTCATTCTCAAGAAAATGAAATCAAAGAAACAATTGATAATGTTGCGAATACTGACAATGAAGATGTTGTTTCTGACAATAGTTTTGAGTACATTAGTAGACAAGTTTTGAAAAAGACATTGAATATGGAAGAAGTTGTATTAGCATCAATAAGATATGGGGTATCAAATCGAGCAACTACTGCTATTTCAACATTAGCACTGAAAGCAGCTCAAGAAGCAGGCTTTCTTAAAAAGAAAGTGTTTGACAGTGAAATAGTGACAGATCATAAGAAAATTAAAAGATTGAAAATTTCACCACAAACTTGTTCAAGAAGGCCATTATTCAGTTTGTGCAGAGCCAGGTGGTTTATATCTGTACCATTTTACAAATGATAAAGAAAACCGATCTGAGTGTAATACCCCAGCAGAGCACATAGCAGAACATATATATAAATGGATTGTTGAACATGGGGTAGAATCAACTCTAGTTGCTGTGATTCTACCAATCTTAATACAGGTAAATGATTGATAATAAATACAGGTAAATATTTAATAATAAATGTCATACATATATTTAAACACAATTATTTTTTAGGTTGGAAAAGAGGTATTCATTTTTTAGAAAAAAAACTTTAAACAAAACTTATTTGGATAGTTTGCTCTTTGCACACAAATGAACTACCCTTGAGGCACTTTATGTCAATTATTGACGGGAAAACAATTTTCCACTGTGATTCAAGATATAGATTCTGAAATTAATTTATTAGATATTGATGAAGATATTTTAAAAACTTTATCGAGTGATCAAAAATATCTATACCGAATAACAAAGACTATTGAAAATAAATAATGCCCAAAAATTTAAAAGAAACTCAAGTTGGTCCCCACAATAACGCACGCTGGTTGAACTTGGCAAGTAGACTGCAGAATTTGGTGTTCAGAGCATGGACTAAATAAAAAACGATGTTGAGAATTTAAAACAACTTGTACAGTTTTGCGTTGGTGTATATTCTGTATTATGGTTTGAAATTAAAGTAAGAAATGTTTGTATGTAGTTTGATAATCGTCTATTTATTTTTGAAAAATGTATTATTAATGTTTAGGTAAAACATAAATGGACCAATGGACCATACCATATTATCAAACAGCTGGAGCTTGTATGAAAAATGAACTTAAGTATTCAACAAGCAGTTTTGCCCTATGTTTGCTCCTCTGCCTGTAATGCTCACAGTGAATCTATTCTACAAGCACTACTACGCAGCTAAGATAAAGAGGAGAGGAAATTTGCAGTGAATAAAATACTTTCAATAAGGAGTTCGAGCTCCCTAGAAATTATTGCTGTTAGACCAAGAAATATCCCAAATATAAATACTAATGCTGAAACTATTATCGAGTTGATTGATTGGAGTAATGATATTTACGAGCCTTTGCTCACATGCAAGATTGGTAAAGAAGAACTTATTAAGTTTTTAGAAGTCCTAATGGAAGTTCCAGAATTTCCTGTACATGGGCAATCCATAGAAAAAATTGTGAAAGAAGTTACAAGAGCTTCTAGTATAGTTTATGGGCAGGAAAGGCGAGACGGATTTATAAAGGCAACAATGCTGCATTACATTCACATAACATTGTTAAGGAAGATATTACAGCAAAATATATCAAAAATAACGATTTTTTTCAACTTTTATAGTTATAAGTTTTTAAGCTAAAATGATTATCTAGGTGTCTAATTAGGGGTTTTTGGGAACGAGGATTCCATAAAAGATATTTTTGAGTCAATCGGAGACCCCTGTCAAAAGTTGTGGCAAACTGAGTATATAGCGTTTTTTACCCAAAACCTCAGTTTTTTAGGTCAAAATTTAAAAACCTAAAAATAATTTTTTTTTTTTTTGTAGATTACTTTTATATAAGGGCAAAGACATTTAAAAATCATATGGCCTAAGCATTTACTGGGAAAATTTGAAAAATGACCTGCCCTAATTTATATATATATGTATATATGTATATATATGTATATATGTATATAAAAAAATATATATAATGTATATATGTTATATATACATATCTATAACATATATACAGTGAGAACAGAATTTAATCGTACAAAGTATGATGAGCAGCCATGACGCAGTGATAGTGCCCTTGCTTCATAAAAAAAGGATTTATGGTTCAAACCCCACCTATGGGCAAGTTTTGCAACATGGGTTAGGAAAGAGGCGTGAACTCCCTATTAAATGCTTATCTATGGTGCTCTGTGATAAGACGGTAAGGACTTCTTGGGGAACCTAAATAAACTTAACAAAAATGAATAAAAAAGAAAAAGTAGTTTATACAATTTTATTTTGCTAAAACTCGTTTTTAACTTGATTAGTATTAAAATAACTGAATTTTTTTTTAATTAGTCATAGCTATTCCTTGTTTATAATTTTTCAGTAAAAATATATGAAATTGTGTTTGTTATACAATTCCTGATTTTTTTCTTAAACAGGTATTAATTTGCATGCACATAAAGTAATTGTGCAAAACTGTTTTATTGATTATGCACATAAATTAATTGTACAAAACTATTTTATTGATTATGTATGTATTACTGTTTTATTGACAACTTTTTATGAATATGAATGTTTATAATTTTTTTTGATTTTTAAAATTTCAATTTTATTAAATTTATATTTCTGGAATTTTATTTTCAGCAGTTAATAACATTTTTGAAAAAAAAAAAAAAAAAAGACATTAAAAACTTTATTCATCTAACTGCATGGCACTATAACTCTTGTTATAGACTCGGTTTAATAAGATAATACTTATAGAAAAGTTGAAAAACTTACAAATATTCCATGTACAACAGTAGAAGCCATTGTGAAGAAATAATATATAGTAAATAATCTAAAAATAACAGCAAATCATCTAAAAAACTTATTAGGAAACACAGTTGCACTTGCATCAATTATAAAATCACATTCATAAAGCAGGGTTCAGTGGATGTAAGGCTTGTAAAAAACCATTATTAACAAAAAATCATATAAGAAAAATAAAGAATTTTGCAAAAAAGTATTAATGCGGCTATCCTTTTTGAAAAAAGTTTTTTGGTCTGATGAATCAAAGTTTAATTTCAAAAAATCTGATGGCGTTTAAAGAGTTTGGCAAAAGAGTGGGAAAGCTTCTTATTTAAGTTGTATGAGAGTAGCAGTTAAACATGTTGGTGGATATGGGGTTGTGTGTGCATGGAAGGTGTTATTAAAATAGAATTTATTAATGAATGTTGATTTGTGTAAAAATATATTAAAACAAAATTTAAAATCTTCTGCTAAAAAACTTTATGTAATGTTTCAACAAGACAATAATCCATAACACACTGCTAAAAAAATTGAAATCTTTTTTTATTGAAAGCAGCATAAACGTGCTAGAATGGCCTTCACAGAGCCTTGATTTGAATCCAATAGAACATTTACGGACTATATAAATTATTATATAAATTATATAAATATATAATATATAAATTAGATAAAAAAAAATAGGTAATAGATTATTACCAAAAAAGAAGATTTAAAGAATGCTGTTGTTAAATCATGGCCTAAAATCGACAGTAATCAAATCAAATGTCTAGTTGAATCAATACAAAATCACTTGTTAGATATAATTAAAGCCAACTAAATATTGAAGTATATTAATAAAATATAAAAACCTGCAACTGCTTCTCATCTATTTTAATAAACTGGTATTTGTTTTTAGCTTAATAAACTTTTATTTTTTTATTTTAATTAAATTTTTAAGACTAGTTCAAGTTTTGCATTTTGTTTATATTTTTGATTGGTTAGCAAAATTTGATCTAGGTATCTATGACGATGTTAGGATTTTTTGTAAACTTTGTATGGTTTTGAAATTTTTTTAAAAACTCATATTAAGTGTATTTTAAAAAAAGTTAATGTTTTTATTGAAGGAATTAATATATAAAATGTAATTAAAAATATAAAATGCTAAGCATTTCATATTTTAATCCAATCAAAACATACATTTTACATTAAAATCAAACAATTTTAACATAGTCCATATTTGATCCTCCTGAGTTTGAGTTAAGCATTCTGATTGACTTAAAGTACATTTATAATCTTTTAAAATTTATTTGCAAATGTTGATTTTGGGGTTTTGAGGTCGGCAATTTTTTGGGTTCCGAGGGTTGATCTAATCTTAGAAAATTTTCAGAAGTAACACCCAATGATCTTTATGATCTATAATCTGAACACTATTGTTCTTCATAACAATAATCTTCTAGTGATCTGCATTTTAGTACCTGCTTTACGCTTCCTTAAAAAATTTCAAAAATCCAAAAAGTCAAAGAGATATGGCTACAAGACTTCAGGAGGATCTCAGAATTCTTTGGAAGGCCAAACACAACGAAAACTGCTACAAGAAAAGTTCTTAAGAAATCAAAAGTGCATTATAATGAATTATAAAATCTACAATTGGTATCAAGAAAAAAGTAAAGTTTTTTCTGGCATTTTTTTCTTAGATTTTTGACTTTTTTTGCAAAAGGATCTTCACAGTTGATAAGACCTTCACAAAGATCTTCACAATTTGATGAGATCTTAACAAAGATCTTCACATCTGACAGTTCTTACTTCACTTAATACTTTTTTGCAAAAGAACTAATTGAAACTCTTTGATTTTTAAACTTCTCGTTCAAAATAAATTTTCTTTAATTTTTTTTATTGAAAATTAACTTTTTTTAAAATCACTTCATATTATTTGAAAGGGAGATAAATTTGCATATAAGGGAGATAAATTTGCTCTATTACAATAAAAATCATCAAAATTAAATCAAAATTGGTTTTAAAATTATTTCAAAAATCTAATTTTATTATTATATTTCCAGACAGTCTTTATACCAGATAATTTGTAATTCTTTTTGTTAATGCATCAAAAAAATGTTTCCTGGTTTACATATTAATGAGTAGAAAAATTAGCTGAAAATTAAATGTAATCTCTGGATTTAAGGAGATAAATGCTAATATTTTTCAAGTATTGTATAAAATATGTTTTTGTCAGATATTTATACTAAACTTCTATTTTATGATAATTATATTACTTTTTCATTTAGGGTCGGAGATTCTTAGCAAAAGATGGTCATATATGTGCAGCAGTGAAGATACAAGTGTGTTAGTTATCATTTTTTTCTATTTATTCCTGATTATTAAAGTTAAGTAAAATGGTTTTATATATTTTAGGCAACCTGGCGCTGTCACATGGCTCGAGCATCATACTTGATATTTAGAAAAAGAAAATGGGCTGCCTGTATTTTATATTTATTTTTATTCTTTTTTATCAAATTTATTTTGTGAAAAAATGGAAAACATTTGTTTTACTTACTTAACTTGTTAACCTTACCTTTAACAAGTTAAGTAAACTTATGCGCAAAAAAGTAGATGCACATAAAAAAATAATTATGTAAATAAAATACTTTTTATTGAACACTGTTTTTACTATGTTTTAATTTAGTATAAGTAAAAGTAATGTTACATAATGTTTTATTTTTATAAAAGATTATGTAACATTATGATATATGAATCTTATAAAAAAGATATTTTTGTCGTCATTTTAAATAAAAACAAAAGATTTTTTCTTGAATTGACTATAAAATGGTTGTCTTGTTCAAAAAGTTTGTTCGTCAGATTATTGTGTAACTGCTGTACCATAATTTCTTAAACATTTTTTGTTTGTGGCCATTTTATAGTTGCTTAGCAACCTACTCTTGGACATTTCATTTGTTGGCAATCCACTCTTTTGCAATTGACTATCATAAGTTTACTTTCTGATATTCTGAGAATTCAAATAGTTTCCATCTTATTTCTTACAACATGCTTTTTCATTTAATTTAATAAAGTTTTAAAAATATAAAATTTTTAATGAATTTTTCCAAGACAAAACTTTTTTATTCTATTGGCTGATTATGTTTATGAAGCTATTAATAAATAATTAATTTATAATTGAATTGTCAATTAAAAAAAAATTGAATAAAAAAGCAAGTTCTACATCATCTATAAATATAGTTTTTTTAATATCTTGTGTTCATATAATATACACATGTTATATTACTTAAATAATTTGATTAAAAAAAATTATTTTCATTTAAATTTTATGCGCATCTATATTTGGGTGTATATTATTTTAGCCTATGTTATTTTAGTGTATGTTATTTTAATGTATGTTATTTTAGAGTATGTAATTTTAGTGTATTTCGTTTCACCCTATGTTATTTTAGCGTATGTTATTTTAATGTATGTTATTTTAGCCTATGTTATTTTAGCATATATTATTTTACTGTATGTCATTTTACCATGTGTTATTTTACCATATGATATTTTAGTGTATGTTATTTTATCATGTGTTATTTTAGCAGATGTTATTTTAGTGTATGTTATTTTCACATTGGTTATATTAGCGTAAGTTAGTCACTTATTATTATTTATAATAGAGTTAATGGAGTTGTTACTTTTCTTAGAATTATCTTATTGTGCATAAAACGTGTGAAACAGGTATGCTATGGTTGCTATGGTTGGTTTTGACTTATCAAAAGTATTCTGGTTTTACTCATAAAAATCAGTTATTTTCTATTAGATATTAGAAAAGTAGAACACTTGTGCTACAGTTTTTGTTTCCTAATTTCTGTTATTCTTTAAAAAAAAGAGAGGAAAAATTTTACTTCATTTTTATCATAATTTTTTTTAATTTATTGAGCAAAACTGAATAAATGTTAACAAAAAGTAATTTTAAATGTTTGCATTTATTTAATTAATTTTTTTTTCAGCTATGATAGCATTATCGTGGGTTATGAAGTGCAAATTGACCATGGTTCGTCAGCTGCTTAAAAATAATCAAATGTATTATCTTTCTACTTTTAGAAAGAGAGCTAAAGTATTGCATATATATATTTTATTACTTTTTTTATTTTATTTTCTGAGTCCTTAAAACTTAAAAATTTTTATTTATAAATTAATATTTGTTGTGTATATTTTTAAATTAATATTTATTGTGTATATTTTTAAATTAATATTTATTGTGCATATTTTTAAATTAATATTTATTGTGTTTATTTTTAAATTAATATTTATTGTGTATATTTTTAAATTAATATTTATTGTGTATATTTTTAAATTAATTTTTATTGTGCATATTTTTAAATTAATATTTATTGTGTATATTTTTAAAATAATATTTATTCTTTATATTTATAAATTAATATTTATTTTATATATTTTTAAATTAATATTTATTGTGTATATTTATGAATTAATATTTATTGTGTATATTTTTAAATTAATGTTTTTTGTGTATATTTAAATAAGGGAATAATTTTCATAACTTTAACTTTTAAGGACTTTCAAGCTTTATGGGCAACAATTAAGAAAACTGGACACACTGTTATTCATATTCCATCATTAGGTTTAATATTATATTAAAAATTAATTTTCTCTCTGTTCATAATAACTATAGTTTTATTTATAAAATTTTGATTTTAAGGCTACAATGTGAACTTGCGACGATCCATTGATAATATTGCAACAATGCAAAATCAACAGATTGGGAGATTTTGCGATGTCAAAGGTATTATTTCTATAAATTTAAAAAAAAAACTTTTTCTTAAAGTTTACATTAAAAATTCTGTAAATAAAAATGATTTTATATTTTTTTAAGTTTTGAAAACATAGGTTATTTATTATTATTATAAATTCTTTTATCTAAAATTAAATTTCATATCTTTATGTATCAAAAAAGAATTAGAATACAATTTGTCTGAATTTTTAAAAACATTGCATTTGTTTAGATACCTATGTTAAAGTAATTTTTAGTGCTTTAGAAATATTAAAAGCAATTTAAAATTTTTTAGATCCTAATGTTGAAGTAATTTATGTATGTCCTGTGGAAATATCCAAAGAATGTCGTGAGTATTATGACACGTTAACCTTGTCAATGTGTCAGGCAACTGAACAGAATTATGATGAAGTTAAGCAAAGACTGTTGTTCATAACACCTGACCTACTTGAAAGGTTTAAGGTACATTCTAAACTTTTTTTTTAAAGTAATTTCAGAAAAATCTAAATAAGTTATGTAATTTAATGCATTTAAACTAAATTAGGCTAATAATAATAATTATTATTATTATAAATATAGTTATTATTATATATTACAATATTTTGATAAAGAATATGAAGAGACCATTTTTTTGATAAACACTTTTCAGAAATATAAAAAAAAATGATTATTTTTTTTCTATTTCTGAAAATAAATATAACCATTTACAAACTTATGTGATTACACAGTTGTTTATTAGGGTCAGGGTAACAACATCAGGTTTTTGCCATGTCTAATAACATCTTTCCAACATCATCTGTAAATATAATGAGGCATAATAACATTGTCCAACAACATCTGAAACTTTATTGGTGTCTAATAACATCTGTTCAACAACATCTGAAATTTCATTTGTGTCTTATAACATCTGTGCAAAAATTAAATGAATATTACAGATGTAGTTACATCTTTTAAATTATCAAAGTGAAATAAAATCTGTGTAAAGTGTAATAACATCTGTGCAACAACATCTGTAGATTTTAAGATGAAGTTATTTTTAAGACGAATTAACTAATAATGCATTATTTTAACCAGATGTAGTTACATATAGGATT